GGAAGCATACTGAGGGACAGGTGACTCCTTAAGGTCACGTGACATTATGGGAGGTCGGGTGACGTCAAGGGGGTCACGTGACCTCGGGGGAGGGAGGTCACGTGACCTTAGAGGGTCACGTGACCTCAGGCGGCCACGTGACCTCAGGGGGTCACGTGACTCCAGGGGGTCACGTGACCTCAGTGGGGTCAAGTGGCCTCAGGGGGTCATGTGACCTCAGGGGTCACGTGACCTTAGGGGTCACGTGACCTCGGAGGGGCACGTGTCTTGACGATTTGATGACGTCATCAGTGACCACTGATGACGTCATCAGTGATGATGACGATGACGATGCGGATTTCAATGACGTCATCAGTGATGATGACGATGACGATGCGGATGCCAATGACGTCATCAGTGACGTCACTGATGACATCAGTGATGATGGCGATGACGATGCGGATGACGATGACGTCATCAAGTTGCATGCAACCTGGATTGCATGCAACAGGTTGCATACAACTCGTTGCATGCAACAGGTTGCGTGCGACCTGTTGCATGCAACTCCCGAATGAACCCAAGGTCCTCCCGAGGTCCCACCGAAGAAACCCGAGGTCCTCCCGATGGGACCCGAGGTCCTTCGGGACGACCTCGGGTTCCTGCGAGAGTTCTCGGGTGTCTTCGGAAAAATTTACCCATAATGCACCGCGCGGTTACGCCGACGGCGACGGCGACGCCGCTCAAGCCGGAAACGGGCGCCTAAGAGCTGCGCTCTAAAACGTCACATCGACAAAAGAACCCCCCCGTTCCCCCCTCCCCCCCCCCCACACACACAATTAACGTCGTTGATTACGGGGTCTATGTCGCAAAGCAACTATGGCCATACTGCGCCAAGCTTGTTTAGTTGAAACATGCTCAGAACTCTTAACGTATGTACATATATATTGTGACGATGAAGACGACGACGCTGCGGCAGTGGTGTGCATTACTATCGCGCGCTCGGCCCACATGCCCACGGCCCTGCCGCCATTAAATAATTCGGCTTCAATATGAGGACATCCATGCCTTCTCCTGCAGGTCCACATTTGGTGGGGGTGCGGGGTACCGATCATCTCGTTTATCTCCACCAACCTTGGCGCCGTCTGTGGAACCGCTGATCTCCAGCCCACAGCCCCCGCCTCAATTAAGCGGCAAAGACAGGACAACATGACGAACTGACAGACACAAGCGAGGAACCATTAAGAGTGTAACAGGGTGATTTGAGAACGCGTTTGCGAGACGATGCTTGTGACGACTGAGACCTACGAGAATTGACGATATCCTGCCCCGGCCCCAGCCCAATCTTGTAACGGCATGACGGACGTTCCCCAGCCAGGACAGTGTCGTCGCGGGGCTGTGAATGGTGCAGAGGTCGGTGATGCTGCAGAGCGTCTTCCGGCCATGGAACTGCCGCAGGTTCTCATATTTTGTGGCAGACCGCATTGCTTCGTCCATCTGTGTCTTCATCTGTTTCTGTTGTGTATGCGTGCACGTTTTCTATGTGTTTTTTTTTATTCATCGTCTGGGTCGTCCTTTGCTAAGGGAGGGGGGGGGGCATAATATGACGATGAAGTCTACGACGGTGCGGCAGTGGTGTGCGCTACTATCGCGGGATAGGCCCGCGCGCACGGCCCTGCCGCCATTAAATCGTTCGGCTTCATTATGTGTACATCCATGTCTTCTCCTGCCAACCCCGCATCTTCGTGAAAAAAAAAAAATATATATATTTATATATTTTCTTCAGCATTCTTACTTTGTGTTAATAGAATGCCAATAGAGCGTGCATAATTGTAACGTGCGCAACATTGTATTATATATAGCTATCAATGGCAAGGCGCAAATAATTTGTAGCTCCTTGAATATTTTTATATTTAGCGGGAGATGCGATGGTACCTAATTAATCATAGATTGCCTCAGTGCATTATCGCTTTAAGTAAACTATATTATAGAGGTAATTATTCTTTCATAGAAGTACTAGTCTGACTTACAATTTACAAACATAACAAAAGACAAGAATGAAGTGTTTAACAGTACTCTGCATTAAATGTGTATTCTCCCTTCACATTGAGTTTACATAGCGAAAGAAAAGCTGTAACCCTACATTGTGTCAATAAAGGGCTGTGTGTCATAGTTGCATAGTATTACACTTCGTAGCTTCTCAGCGATCCTTGACTAGGGCTTCGAGCCTGACGCAGCACATCCTCTCTGGCTGTATATCACTACGCATGCCGTTACTTCGGAGAACTTGCGAGTCAAATGCGTTACACAAAAACCATAGATATAAACCGCTAACTATGAGTGAATGTGAGTGAATTGAACGGTTAACCCCAATTACAAAACACGATAAAAAAAAAGTTTCACAGTATGAGGCCACCGTTTACAATTGTCGTTTATACGAAAAACGGTCTAGTAAGTTTCTAATTGTTACCACAGTATTTTGCTGTCCCTTTCACCCTTCCGTTCTCCGAAGCTAGTATAGCACAGAGCATATTTAACGCCACAGGCTAAGTTGTCAATAAGCTTTCTTGACGCTGTGGGGCTTTCGTTTCTTTTTTTCGTTTTCTTCGTTCTGCTGTTATTGTAGGTTCTCTTTTGTTGAGGTGGTGTTTTGAAGGTGCGCTTTTCTGTTACGAACTACTTTAACACATGCTGTTGACGGCGCTGTTCTGTACTGCACTGTTATGTCGTATGCTGTTTTTCATAGTGCCGGTTTTGTAAAATGGAGCATTCCTTGCTTTTTGTTTTTCAGATTTATTGCCTACAGTACAAGAAACCTATACCAATAAAAATAGCAGGACACAGGACAACTGTAAAACATAACAAGCAGCTAATATGCGTGAGAGCTTATAAACACCTGAAAAATAGTAAACGAATGTGTGTGCTGTCAACCCCAAGCAAAAAAAAAAAAAAAGAACTACGGAAATCAAGTCTAAAGGAAGCGGGAGCAAAAGCTATACGCGACTTTCAGCTCTTCTTGTTGTCTTAAATTACACTTTGCTTCACGTGCTTCTGCGAGGAAAACCGTGGCAGCAAAAAAGTCCCAAGGTTGCCTCCCCCACAACGTAAACATAAAAGAACATAAGTAACAGCGTGGAGGGACAAAGCTGTCAGCGCCAACGCAATGGCAGCTTGCTACATTAGGCCACCTTCCTTGTTCCGTGACCTAAAATGAGTTGCATTGTGTGGGGCCTTATTTTTTTCCAGTTCAGATAAATAGTCTCTGTATTCTGTCTCGGCGTTCCGCGTGAGCTCTTGACAGATGTTTATGAAGAACCATGCAACTAAGCCTGTTTTCGTTGGACGCAAAAATTCCTTGCTATTTTAAATTTAAAAAAAATGTAAACATTGTTTGGCACTGGTCAAATAAAGTGTCGTGTCTAATATTATTGAATTTAAAAATAAAGAGGAAACATTAGCCTAATTCCTTGCCTACTAAAATGACTGTACATGCACTATTAATTACGGAGGAATATAAGAATAGATTCATTGGAGGCACAAACATGCATTACTTAGCGTCAAAAAATCCTCTTCTATAGTTTTATTAAAATTGCAGACTGCCTGAAGGTCGACTTTTGTTACGTCAAATATGATTTTAGTGGGTTCAATATATTAACTTTCAAACGGCGTACAATTAATATATAGTGCACTAATATTCCTGCTCATTTTTTTGCCTAATCTTTGATGAAGCTTTATTGATACAATAATTTCAGTATTAAGTTCCCAGTATTCGCTGCACGCCACAAGCCATGTTTCTACGTGTTTCTTACGAAACTTTCAGCCACATTCTAACAGATTCACTGATAAAACGCCAAGGAAACTATAACGACAGATTCAGAAACACTGACGGAATATTAAAGTCTACAGCTTACAAAAGACATCAATGAAAGCCACTGATGTGGTATGGCCTACGCCAAATTTTTGCGAAGTGTTTGCCTAGCTATACGCTTCAGGCATTGGAGCTATTCTCCGAATAAAGAGAACCTAGACTTTGAACTATATATGGTTTATTGGTGAGTTGATGAGGTGGACGGTAGTTATGATGTTTGTCACAGTTTTGAACGCTGGCTCTCACGGGCTTTTGCGTTTGCTCTTCATTGTGAAGGAGCGTGAGAAAATCAAAAACGGCTTTCAAGTATACGCCTGATTGCAAGCGCACTCTGTGGAATCCACCAGGATGATACTGCTGGGTGAAAACTCTACGTGCTTGCTCGTATGAAACCCAAACCGCGACGCTATGCGCTCAATGGACTTTTAACCCAGTTACCCGAACTCCCGAAAAATGCTGGGAAGGTAGATACGCACGTTGCGGGCGCTCGCCTAATTGAATTACGTAATCGAAGTCAATAACACAAATAAGACGGAGAAACAGACGTTCAAAGTGCCATATCCGTTGAATTATTTCGATTGAAACAGCTACTGCCAGAGACACCAGCGAGTGCAGCGAGCGTTACTACACTCGAGCGTTCCCCTTTGTACTTGGCTTATTTACAGAAAGATCCAGTGTGCATAGTACACATTTGTTCACAGATCCTCGCGCTCTCTTGATACTACCTGCAAGTACAACCGGGTATGTAGTGAGCAAATTTCTTAATTTCAGTGACAATATAGGCTCAGCAGATATATTCTGCTAGGAAATCTAAAAAAAGCGTAAAAACGCCGACGTATGCAAGGTTGTCATATACATTGACATTGGGATGGGTTTGTCTCCCTAAAATAACCATTAAATGAATTTTTTTTTGCAGACACTAAAACACGTGTTATTATAATCTATTTTTTTCCGTCGGAGTTTCGACAACGACGGTTATAGAAATACTACATTGGAAACATGCGGTATTATAGGGTGCTCAACTGGCAACAAAGAGACAAAACTCACATTTCACAATAAACTAGGTCTACGATAATATTGTATGAATAAAAAAATTCACGGCTATCAAATAAAAGTAAAAAGTCTCTTTTACTTTTTCTTTTGTCTCTCGGTGCAGGGTGTGATACGGGCTTCGGGCACTTGCTGGCCAAGCGGTTGGCAAAGGAGGGCTTCTATGTATTTGCCGGCTGTCTGTTCTCTGACGGTGCCGATGCCAAGGAACTGAGGTCTTTGCCAAACGTGCACGTTCTTCAGCTGGACGTCACCAAGGAAGGCCAGGTAGAGCTCGCCTTGGAAGAGGTCAGAAAGAGCTTGGGTTCCAGAGGTAAATGTATTCCCATCAAGAGGATTATAAATGAAAACGTCGACTTTGTCGCATTCAGTTGATCTTGTGTTACACGATTTGACTTCTTAAAAAAGGCGGGTTGCCCTCACCCCTCCTGTTGCGTCCTATTAATTCAATAGATTGAGGGTAGTTCTTCCCGGAGTGGAATGCTACCAATCGCGCGTTATCTTGAAAGCAGTTCATGGAGTGCTACAATTCTTGTATAAGTTCCCATACTTTGGGTGGCTTCATGTGCGCTCTGGCTAGGCTGATGACATCCGGCCATCCTTTTTCACGAACGGTTCGTTCATCTTTCGTTTCAAAGCGCATGAAAAGCATCTGTCGGTACGGGTCCCGGGCGTTCACTGTGCACGGCGACATTTTTTGTAGGGCTATTTTGCTGTACGTTTGCTTGAGCGCGTGGTGTCGGCAGGGGATACTACGAAAAATCTGATCAGAACAAACGGAAGCGTATTGAGGCACCCTACCCGTACTAAGTATCCTTGATAATATACACTGGAGTCCTACTAAGGTAGACAAAGGTACATGCGTTGGCACATGATTTTGTCTCATCCTGCAGTTGGACTTGCTATCGTATAGAATGACAAAATGGGTAGAGCGGTGTTATCGCGCTGTCTGTAAACAAGCCCCCACGAGGCGTGGGGCCGTTCTCTACGAGAGGTAGGGGGATTTTGTGTGCTCAGGAACACAAGTCTCGTGAAGCAAAGCTTCTGTGCATGCGCCCTGTAGATAGCATCGGTAGCGTCACCCTGTGACGTCGGGGCCGCGTGTTGCTGTATAAGTTATAACATATACATGGTGTTTTCTTTTGATTCGAACAATTTTCTTTAAGGTAGCGAATGTTAGACAAGTACCGTCTTCACCGGATATTTTCAGGCTTGGCGGGCATTAGATTCAAAATTATTCGTCAGGGTAAGTTGACTAATTAACTAACTGTGTCGATTAACTTTTAAGTTCTAGGTTTTAGGTGTTATATTGTAAACTCATTATCGTTGAAAATCACTATCGGATGCCAAATTAATTGAACAAGTTTTAGATAAAGTAACGCTTGTTTTAATACATAATTCGATCAACTATCAATGTTCTTTTTTTTTTTTTGCCCAATTTAAACGTTTCAAGCGAAAACAGCGCCGCAATCACTGCCCCCAATGATTGTTCGAAGAGTGACACAGTGGTTTCATTTTGCGTCATCATTTCTGTTGTCGGCGCATTCATCAGCAACATGCGGCCGAGATAGTGACCGCACGATTGAAATGACTTCGTCACTCTTTGAAGCGTTATTGTGGGCAGGGCTTGGGGCGATCTAGCTGAGCGCAATTTTTCAATCGGGCGGAACAAAAGGTGAAAATTGTTTCGATCATATATAGTAAAAGCCACTACCGTTTCGCATTTCTTTAAACGTTTTTCCACCGCTAATAGTAATTGCCATCTATATTGTAGTTCTAAAATCACCACTAAACCTCATGATTAAAAAGAATTGATTAAAAAATATTAGTTAATTAGTTAACTTACCATAAAGATTATTTCCTCATCAAATGTCCGCCGAGTTTGATAAATACATGGCAAAGACGGCACTCGTCTTAATCTCACTTCCTTTCTAAACAAACGAATATATCTCCGAAATAAAATCAAGGGGTTTAAGGGGGATGGGGTATACACAAAAAGGATGTTTCCCGTGTAGCGAAACTCAAAGCATATGTTCAACCATTGCGCCGCGGCGGTGCTGTCGAGGCCTATAAAATGATAGCCCTAAGCAATAGGCCCAAAAAGTTTCGTTTAATATTTTTTTTATTTACCACGATTACAAAGCTTTTGAGCCTCAAATCTTAGCGTTGCTCATTACTCTGCACTAGAAAAGCGGCTGTAGTGACGAAAAGTGCAATGAAATAATGAAGAGAATTACAGTTTACACTATCAGCTCCCAGTGTCTGATGCCCAAACAAGTGCTATCGCATATAAAACACAGGGCGGCGGCGCATTCGCCGGACTCAGTCGATTTAAATGATGACGACACACGTGCAGAAAGTTGGCAAATGCCGTGACTTTGCGCTTTGTCACTGCGTGATTGACCCCATTGGCTCGTAGCGTCTTCTACAGGTTACGTAAGGGGAAACCAAGTATACCAGTTGTTTGCCGGCAAATGACCCTGACTCGAAATTGATAATTGAGAATTCAGTATAGTAGACACCGTACACGTCATTGGACATAGCACAGTGCTGCCCAAGGGCAGTTGAAATAACATTCGTTTAAATGTCAATTGATGAATTAACGACAAAGCACGCCATCATGCCTCCGACATGCAGTGATGTTGAGTATAAAACATCACGCGTGAAGGTTTTATAAATGTTATAATGCGTCGTGCACACTGCAGGGGTTACACTACAAATATCACGTGAGGTATCTTCTTCCGAGACAACTGGAAGTCCCAATCAATTTTTTTTTTTTCTGAACATCCGTTTTGCGCTAAAAAGAAGTGGCCTTTAAGGCAAGTGAAGCACTAGCACCCAAACTACGTTTGTGGGAAAACATAGCGTTATCACAATGCATTCTAAGGCAGTTTCACGTGTTAGAGTTTAAAAACGCGAATACCTTTCGTCGATCTATGACTCTGCGTTAATTCATACATCGGTTGAGGTGGCACAATCAATTCAAGAATTCTCTGAATATGTGGCATGCAATTCAAGGAGGCCCAGTAGGCATCCAATGGTATTCAAGTGTTACTGAGTTAATGGAGAATTTTAGTGAACTGCTTTTGCACCCCCTATGGTGCGACGGGCTCACCGGCACGAAATGCTCATGCGCTAGAGCAGAAGACTGTCATATCCGCGCTTCGTACCGGAGGACCCTTCGTACCGTATCGGATGTCCAAAAACGGTTTCCTAAAAGTTCCGAATAAGTTGTAACTTTGTAGATATTTAAATGTCCTTTCTTTTATGTGTACTGTAATCATTGTGACGCAGAAGTCAGGGGTATACAATGAACGCATCGACCGTGCGCCGAGCACCGCTTGCAATTCTGTAACTGTTGCGAAAATCAACCGCGAGCCAAACAAAGATCGTTATCAAGGTTTGCCGCTGAGGACTGTAGTTCGCTGGTTACAAGACTGCCCGATTTATTTCTTTAACCAGTTGCAACACGAAAAAAAAGCCTGTGAAACTTGAGTTGTTTCCGTATTCGGTATGGTAAAGCAATCAACGGAGTTGTTTAAAAACGCGTTTGTGTGGATCAACAGCAGCGGTATTCCCTGACCGTCTTTAATAACACGTCACGATCTCCTGTGTTCATTGCACTCCAGACACATAAAGCCGCTTCTCTTATTTTTTCCTTCTCAATCGCAGTTCTTTGGTCTGTGGTGGCCAATGCTGGCGTGCCCAACATTGGCCCCATTGAGTGGCAGACCATGGATCGCATTCGGTCCGTGTTCGACGTGAACGTCTTCGGCACCACTCTCGTCTCCAAGAGGTTCTTGCCGCTGCTTCGAGACTCAAAAGGAAGACTCGTCATTGTTTCCAGCGGGTTAGGTTAGTGGGTTTTTGATCGAGCCACTTCAGCCGGCATAATTGCGCAAAGAATTTCCGTGAAACAGTTGCACTAACTATTCGAATAGACGGCCCTGCATGGTCACCCTCTCGAGTAAAATAACCCAAGAATTTCATACGTAAGAAAATTTAGCCGAAATGTTGCTGCTGTGTCGAAATGTAATATATTTTTATATCAAGTTACAATACCTTTTTTGTATTCAGATAAACTAAACAGGCGCATACTATGCAGTTGACGTAGTGCTTTTTATTGCGTCCCGTTTTGTTCTTCGACGTCGCCTCTAAATGTTTACTTTGTGGGATGGTCGCGGGTGGTAGTAACCGAAGGTTTCAGCGGCTGTTTCTAAACGGGAGACGCCAAGCCTACTCTCAGATCCCACAGCTTTCTTTCGAGAACACCGCTATGCGCGGGTCCGAATGATAGCCGCGCAACTGATCGCTTCTCTAAAAAGAAGGACCACATACCATAATAGGACTGCGTCCAATTGAGTTTCTTAGAAAGCCAAAAGACACACTGTCCCAAAAACCCCGCGCCGACAAGGTCAGATGAAAGACTCATCCTATCGACACCGTTCCGAGAGCGCAGTCCAGAGCAAGCAAAGGAAGAGCTATGCGACAGGTCCGATCTCTGTCGTATCCAAGGGAGGGGTCACTCTGATCCCGAAGTCGGGAACGCTCGTCAACTTCCTCCCTCCGCGGGCGTCATCCATACCCAAAACAACTAGGTTCCCGGATGAGCGGGGAAACAGAAATAGCCCCCTCCCCCCCCCCCCCCCCCCCCCCAGTAAAGAGTAAAGAGGAGAGCCCCCCAATCCAGGCGGTTCTCCCACGCTTCAAGAACAGGTTGGAGTTCACGGGAACCAAGTCGAGCGTTCCAAACCACGGCCGTTATACCGGCCATCGGGGAAGGGTGAACAACGGTACGCACAACTTAGGACACATTAAAAAAATACAGGCACCCCATTGCAGTGCTTTGTTCAGAGTATGACTTACGAGCGCCTTAATGGAGGTTACTCGGAGGCAAAGTCACTGTACAGTGAAACCTCGGAGGAAAAATGATTACATTATATGTCTCAGAGTAGGAGTATCAACGTTGAATTCCTGAGCGCTACTTCAGCTCAGAGCTTCCTTTCCAGAAGATATTTCTCGAATTATATATTTAGTAAAATTAAACATCTTGAAATGATATGTATTTCACGTCAACACGACGGAAAATAAACATGATACAAATAAAAAATCGAATTATTTTAATTTTATTTTAGGTGGTAAAACGTCGTCGATTTTCATGAATACTTTTAGAATCGAGTAAAGTTTTCTCTGAAATAATCATAATATAGTAACTATTAATGAGGTAAAATCTCCAAACCAAAACACGCCGAACAGTGTAGCTACGGGCTTTGGAAACTTACACGGGATAAAGACATAAGCACTTTTCAATTACAAATGAATATTTTATCGCAATAAAATAAACATGTTATTGACATAGATGTTCGCATATCGGATTTTGATCAGCAAATGCTGACCTACTGATGTTAGCTGGCGTTCTTTTATATCTGGAAATTCAATCACAGCCCACTTTTTCATCTCTCAAAACGCACAGGTCGGGTGACCTTCGATCAATCGACGGTGTATTCCATGACCAAGCACGCTGTAATTTCACTGGCGGACGGACTACGCAGGCAGTACTACCAGCGCGGGGTCCACGTCATCACCATTGAGCCCGGGGCCTACAGGTATCCTGAACTTCCAATTTTATTAACTTAGAAAAAAAAAAAAAAAAAAAAAGGAAGCCGATTGTCAGGTATGTTTTTTGCGATATTTAGTCTTTGAAATATACATTTTATATTTTTTTATATAGTTTGTCCAATTCTGGCGAGTCGAAGTCTCGATAGTTAACTGTTATTTGCTGTGAAATCTCTCCTTGTTCTGACTACTCCAAACTTGGTGCAAAGTTATCTTTTGATCTTTTCCTCATTGCCATTCATCAACCCGGCCATAACTGACAAAAATGTTTGTTATATCATAGCAAGTAGAGAACAAACCACGTGGGTACCACCAAAAATGAGATCTCATCCTCGCATCAAGTAACTAGTGTTTTCAGAAGGTTAATTAGTATAAAAATAAGTATGGCAAGTAAGTCGAACCATTCAGGGTTGCTGATTAGTAAACTTGGATATTCACCCACTGGAAGAGTTCGATATAAAAGTAGCAGTTTCGACTTTGTCTTGGAGATATATTTTACGAAATATTAAGCCTCCAAGATGAAATATCTTGCACTGAAAGGACCAGCGTTGATGGATCTGCCTAAACCAGTGGTGGCAGTAATGAAATTCACTAATAAAATTACCTATTAAAGCAATTGCTAATGTAATTATTTTCAGGTGCAGGTAACTTAATAATGTAATTAATTATATTGGGGTGGTAATGGGGTTTCTGTTTCAGGTCTACTTTCGAACGCAAAGAAAGACGGAAGATTTTAGTGACAAAAATAAAAGAGGTCCAAAAAGGCTAAGGGGGGGGGGGGGGGGGGGGGGGGGAGGGCGGATGAGAAAATAAATGTAAAAACGATTACCATGAGACTAGTTGACACGCTTGAAGATAGAAACCAATTAGCTCGTTGAGAGCCTGCAATAGTTAGTGCAAAAGTACGCAAACACCCAATGTTATTGAAGAACGTTTAGCCTTTCCACTCTGGTGAAGAAGGAAGAGCAGCGTAGCTGTACTATGGTGGGAATGAAGTAATGGCCGGCTGCAAGTCGGCAAGCCAGAGTGAAAAGGCTGGAAAGGTTGCCACCATCTATAAGCGACGGTGGCAATCAGAAAACCGGTAAGCCGTTTGTCTGGTTGCCCCCGTCGCTCATAGATGGCGGTAGGTGTCCGTAGTTGGTGTGTGCACATTTATTTTCTGGTGGACGAGATCCTGGGGAAACTATAGCGCTCAACAACTCCGCTGTAAACAAATTAAAACAAAAAAAAAAATGAAGCGCAAGCAAAATTTATGCCCCCACCCCCCCCTCCCCTTCCCGTTCCGAGCAGATTCGTCGTTCCATAATGACGTTGTCCTCCCCAAAAGGACGACACATATATTTTCGCAGAAAATGATCTACAGTTCAAGGAGGGAATAATAAAGTGCAGGAACAGAGGCTGTAGATGTAAAGTCTGAAAATGAAGCAACCACTAAGAAAACATTTAGTCAATTTTAAGAATATAATATTGGTAATTTCTTAGGACCGCCACGGCTGGGCAGATGAGCTGCTGGTCAATAATTGTTTTGTTTTTTTGGAATCGAAGGAGAACAGAAAACGAAGCAGTCAATCATCTGTATTCTGCTTGCCCAAAACGACGAGACACTGAACGATTTTGTATTCCAGATTTGGGACAGAACATGAAATATAATCCTTCATAGCTCTTGCCTCTAAAACTGATCGTATTTTTCTCACAATCAGCATCGCCACGATAACTCATGTAGGTTAAATGTTTATAATGTGAATAATCTTGCCTGTAACAATAAATGTTTAATCTTTCTTTATGTGTACTAAGATAAAAAAAAATAATTTTAAAGTGATATACATACGTTTGAAGACTAATTTCTGATTGTAATGAAATCCAATTAAAATGTAATTGAGTAATGCTTTAGTCAATCAGGCAAGAACATTAGCCATTTGATTCAATTACAATGCAGAAGCATTTTGGCCACATCTAATCGAAATTCAAGTATCATGAATGTATACTGCCATTCCATCGCTTAATCTTGAATGCAAATTCTTTCCGTATATGGAAATACGAATTCAAACAGTGTGCTGAGCAATTACTTAAACCGTCAAATAAAATTGGGCAGGCAGACATCAGATGTAGTGCTGGCAATAAACGAAGGTATCAAACACTTTGCGAAAATAATCCCAGGAGAAATGGAACAAAAGGGACAAAGGACAAACACACATCTCCAAAAACAGCTAGGTGACTGGTGCGCGACCATAAAAACCCGCCTGGTCCTGGTATGGAACCAGGGACCTTTCCATTTTCAGTGGAGGGGTCTCCCAAGTGAGCTAACTAGAAATTACACGTTCGTAGACCCGCTCAACTAGAATACACTTTAGTAAGCGGGTTGGCGATAAATTCAACTGCAATAAATAATAAAACATAAAGGGCGGAAAAAACGACACATATTTTGATGTGTTGTTTCCTTGTTGACTAGAACTAGTAGGAGGAGTAGCAAAAGCAGCGGGGATGCCCCGTCACCTACGAGGGAGGAAGTAATCGGGAAGAGAGTGCTAGTGCCACTTGGAAGGTCCAATTCATGATGTGCCTTACGCGGAGCCCACCGCTTTTTACGGTGTTTCTTGTTCACTTTAGTTCTACTTTATTTACCACATTTTTCGGACTATAGTCCGCGGTCTATACATGAATAAAAGTTGAAAATTCACCCAATGCGGACTATCTACAGGTGCGGAATATGGAAGTATTCTTTTTCCAGATCGTTTACTGTGACAAGTCCTGAAGCATTTTATGAGTAACGGACTATGTTAACGTTGATTTATGTACGATATAGCTTCTTTGCAAGCTAATACAGTTAGCATTTGCCAAGGTGTGCTGTGTATGATTCTTTTTTACGTTTGGACTAGGCACTAAGTGCGGCCTATGCACGGGGTACGGATTTTGTACCGGGCGCAAACTATCTAAGCAAATACTTTTATTTTTGACCCCAAATTCGCCCCTGCGGACTATGCATCGGGTGCGGACTCTAGTCCGGAAAATACGGTACAAGAGTAATGACGGTCGCATTCTTTCACCAGCTTCATCTTCGTCTCTCTCCTTCATCGTCATCGTCCGTCATGTGTTAGTTTGGGAACAGTACACTCCTTATATGTTCAAGCGACAACTTCGATGCTGTGTCTAAACAGTACGGCGTAGCTTGCAGCCATAGTCTCTTAAGCCAACAACGTCAGAGCTTACAGTGTGACATTGCTCCTTTTTTCGTCAATTCAAGCATAATTAAGCTCAGTACATACGTCGTAATTAGCTTTCGGCCAATCGTGGAAACCAGTGAAAAGAAGACCACAGTGACGTTTTTAGCCGCGCACGTATCCAGTAGTTTGAATATGCTGTTACTCAGCTCGTGCTCTGAAGCCAATCTTTCAAAAGGCTCCCGCTACGTGCCTTCTACACCAACAAGTTGTTGTCTTGCCGGATGAAGAATATAAGCTTGCTCTTGCGACGCGCTCTGAACCACGCTCTCAACTATGCTAACGCATTCTCACACTCTAACTCGACATTCTTTTTTTTTATTTCGAGGTTAGGAATTATTTTCTCGCAAAAAGGTTAAAACAAGTACCTCTCCAGTGCAGTTTTGATTGGCTTTTGTTCATTGAATACGATTAGAAATTATATTTATTCGCTTTCTCTAGGTTTTTTGTAGAAAATTATGTGTAGAAAGTATACATATTCTGAAGGAAATGTACCGTTTTTTTTAATATCCACGGCCTGTATCTTTTTGGTCGCTTTTTCTGTAGACATTTTATAAATCTTGGTGTACAGACAGTGGATAAAAATTTTCCAGTAATTCTAGAAAAAAACAGACAGGAATCCAGCAACAATTCAATCCCGTTTTTGTTGTAGAGGGGAGAGATTTTCAGGAAAAATATTATATCCTGAACATTAGTTTTCGGTTTTGTGACAATACATCATTGAAAACATGCACTGTCCTCTTGCCTTGTGCACATAGGCAGACTACCAATCTACGCCGAAGTGGTCATGACACTAGTAATTCAGCAGTTATGACTGCTCCACCGCCATATACATTCTACTTTTGGAAGGCAATCGTTTGAAACAGGCGTACCAAAGAAGATTAAACAAATTACACTACGTGTTGACGTTACATACAAAACGACCGTGTTGGTAACAGTAACTAAACATGAGGGATACATGGAAAGGGGGGACGGACGTGGAAGTCTTCGTTGTCTGTCCCTTCTTTCCATGTATCTTCCTCATGTTTAATTAGTGCTGTTTTTCTCGCCAATATTTCATACGAAGTGTGGCTTCTACGGGCGGTTCAAATATATTTCCAACTCTAAAGCATTGCATGAAGGGAAAGTTATTTGATGGAGTCGAAAAAGCAGCTTCCACAAGGAGGTTTCGACTGAGTGTGATATCGCTTCACCGCACTATATCTTGTAACTCAATCAAGTCCAGTCTATGGAAATAAGTAAATAAATAAATAAATAAATAAATATATATATATATATATATATATATATATATATATATATATATATGGGTGATTTCAACTCAAATCGGGCAGGCTAAAAGAATCTAGTTTTTAATTTTCACGAAAAAAATATATGTTTTGGGGGTATTTCTCAAATGAAGGAGGGCGCAAACCGCATGTTCTCCCGATTTTTTGTTCTCGAGTTACGAGCCGTAGAAGCCGCAGTGGCAGAAACTAGTGTTTTTGCCTGCCGTCGCAGGTCGCGTGTTTGACACCCTCTGCTGACGTTATTGTATTCTCTACATCCTTCTAAATTTACCTCATCATTTAATAGGTATTATAAAAATACCTTGATGTATTCAAATATTTTTAGGAATTTTATTGTTTTCTAAAACACAGGTCAAACTCGTCACTCCGGCCGCTTTTCGGTTAAATTTAACACGTCATTACTTTGTCTGTACTTAAGGTAAATTTTCTTTCTTTGGCTCTACAGAAAGCCCAAAGCAAGCCCATTATAGATATAATAATATCATTATGATCTGTCGACTAGCCGCCCCGC